CAAAGAACTGTATTTTAGGCAAACCTGTGTACAATGGTACCTTAGTTTACGAACTTAATCCGTTCCGGAAGTCCGTTCTTTAACCAAAGCGTTCTTAAACCAAGGCGTGCTTTCCCATAGCAGCAGGGGACTCAATTTACAAATGGAACACACTCAACAGGAAGCGGAACGTGTGCTGCTTCCAAGGTAAAGTCCACAAACCAAAACACCTACTTCCATGTTTGCAGCGTTCTTCATCCAAGTTGTTCATAAACTAAGCTGTTCTTAAACCAAGGTACCACTGTACAACATTAGGAGAAAATCGCATTAAAAATGCTGGTGAATTTTCATGGTCCCCACCCCCACCCTGCAAATAACGAAATGATGTTGAACTGTTAAGAATTTGAAAACTGGAATAATGAGAAACCGAGAGAAACCGAGAGATTTGCCCACCCTGATCCTTCCCCTCCATTTTTCCACCTCAAACTCTCCCCCTTTGTGTTCTCATTTTACAGCTGCTGAGCTTTGAAGTTTGAGTTTGAAGTCACGGGTCTACCCCCCTCCCCCACCCCCCCCACCCCCCGCTGCCCATCATCAAGTCTGCTTCCATTGTTAGTCAGGCTCATCACAAGAGCCAGCGGCTAATTTCGCACTGGTAGCTGTTCAAGGAGCAAGTTGTGGGGGCGGGAGAAGGTCCAAGCCAGACTGGGCACTTTGGTGTGTAATTAGATTTCTTGTCAAACAGTGGCAAGGCAGCTCGCCCCGCAGGTAACCTCATCAGTACTGATTGGCTGCTCTGGCGTAAGCTGTGGCCCCATTACAGGAAACGAGATGTTCCCACAGATGTAATTGGACACATCAGGCCACCAGCCTCCCTGCTGCTCTGTCACTCAGGAAGCAGGTGGCTTCTTGGAGCTGGGGACCTCCCTCTCGCCACAAAACAAGGCTTTTGTTACACGGTTGGCTGTGTTGTGGGCTGTTTCCTTAGCATATAATAGAAACACCTTAGTGGAAGGCAGGTTGAGCAAACTCTCGAAAAACAAGTTTGTGTTCTGGAGCAGGGGGAAAAGAAAAGTCACAGTTGCAAACACGAGAATGCGATGTGCTTGTTTTGCTGTTTAAAAAATGTTGCTGCTGCTGCTATGTTTCCAACCAGTTTCCCCTCCCAACGACCTCAGGGTGGAACATGGGACTCCCTCCCCAATGCATGCTGACAACAACCCTGTGAGGTAGGATAGGTTGAGAGACAGTGACAGTCACACGATGGGCTTGATGGCCAAGTTTGATGCCTGGACTCCCAAGTGCTTTAATCCAGCACCCATAACCACTGCTGAAGACAGCCCTGTTTAGGGAAGTTTTTAATGTTTGATGTCTTATTGTGTTTTTAATATCCTGTTGGAAGCCGCCCAGAGTGGCTGGGGAGGCCCAGCCAGATGGGGGGGGGGTAAGTAATAAATTATTATTATTATTATTGGTTCTTTTCTTTCCATACGTGTGGAGTGTGACGCATCCTTCCACTCTGCTGCCCTCCCTGCCCGCAGACTGTCTTGCCAGAGTGGTGCATGCTCTAGTTATCTCCCGCTTGGACTACTGCAATGCGCTCTATGTGGGGCTACCTTTGAAGGTGACCTGGAAACTACAACTAATCCAGAATGCGGCAGCTAGACTGGTGACTGGGGGCGGCCACCGAGGCCTCATAACACCAGTTTTGAAAGACCTACATTAGCTCCCAGTACGTTTCCGAGCACAATTCAAAGTGTTGGTGCTGACCTTTAAAGCCCTAAACGGCCTTGGCCCAGTATACCTGAAGGAGCGTCTCCACCCCCATCGTTCAGCCTGAGGTCCAGCGCCGAGGGCCTTCTGGCGGTTCCCTCACTGCGAGAAGCAAAGCTACAGGGAACCAGGCAGAGGGCCTTTTCGGTAGTGGAACGCCCTCCCATCAGATGTCAAAGAGATAAAGAACTACCTAACATTTAGAAGACATCTGAAGGCAGCCTTGTTCAGGGAAGTTTTCAATGTGTATTTTAATGTATTTCAATGTGTATTTTAATGTATTTTTAATCTTTGTTGGAAGCCACCCAGAGTGGCTGGGGAAACCTAGCCAGATGGGCGGGGTATAAATAAATTGTTGTTGTTGTTGTTGTTCTTGTTGTTGTTCTTGTTGTTCTTGTTGTTATTTCTGCTCCTCACTGCATCTCTGTGATGACAGAGCACGTCTCGTTCACACCTTGCTATGAAACAGCATTGCTTTGTACTCCCCGTTTACCTGAACATCAGCATTTGACAGGGCCGGGTCAGGAATGAGCATCGGAGACTTTTGTGATATCTGTTTATTTGCAAAGTATGCAAGTTGCATCAAGGGTGCTACTCTGCAATGCAGCACCAATGGCAACAAGGAAACTTGGAGCCCTACTGGGAGTCTTTCTTCCCAGACAGCAGTAAAACTCACTGGCTATGATCCAGCTGCCAATGTTTCTTCCTAGACGACGCCCAAGCCGGCAGTGAGTAATAGGTAACCAGTAGCTGTCAACCATTAAGAGCCATCAATGCTCAACTGAGCAATCTTCTTCTATTCCATGGAAGAAGAAAGTTCAGCCAGGACAATATTTTTCCTGAATACATTTCAGTAGAATTGTTCCAGTGAGTATTATGTAAAGGAATGATTTACACACACACACACACACACACAGAGAGAGAGAGAGAGAGAGAGAGAGAGAGAGAGATTTGTTCTATTTAAGAACTGTTTCTAAAACTGGAAGAAGATACTCAGTACAGTGGTACCTCGGGTTACATACGCTTCAGGTTACAGACTCCACTAACCCAGAAATAGTACCTTGGGTTAACAACTTTGTTTCAGGATGGCAACAGAAATCGTGCTCTGGTGGAGTGGCAGCAGCGGGAGACCCCATTAGCTAAAGTGGTGCTTCAGGTTAAGAACAGTTTCAGGTTGAGAACGGACCTCCGGAACGAATTAAGTACTTAACCTGAGGTACCACTGTACCAGCATCTCTCCCCCCCCCCAGTGTTGTTGTTGTTGTTGTTGTGCTACTCATCAGACTTGTTTACCCCAGCCACTCTGGGCAGCTTCTAGCATCAAACACAGTAAAACATCAATTAAAAACGTATACAGAACCGCCTTCAGTTCTCTTCTAAAAGTCCAATAGTTGTTTATTTCCTTGACATATGATGGGAGGGTGTTCCACAGGACGGACGCCACTACCGAGAAGGCCCTCTGCCTGGTTCCCTGTAACCTCAATTCTCACAGGGAGGGAACCGCCAGAAGGCCCTCGGAGCTGGATCTCAGTGTCCGGGCTGAGCGATGGGAGTGGAGACGCTCCTTCGGGTATACTGGGCCGAGGCTGTTTAGGACTTTTTAAAAAAAAATAATAATAATTTTTATTAATAGGCCAATCACATCACATTATCCAAATCACATTAGTTCCAAATTATACAGCCAAATTTTAAACTTTGTTGGGGGTACCCATACATCAAGCTCCGCACGAGTCCAAAACTCCGAACGAGTCCAAACATCACTTATATTACTGCTTTAATTAGACAGTTCTATCCAGTTCAATCTAGATAGTTCTTTATTACTTTCTTTCTCTTCTTGTTGTTATCGTATATTCCTTTCTTTGCGATCTCTGATAATTTTTACAAGCAGATTGAAAACAGGCATCCTCTGTGTGGGTTTTGTACTCTTCAAAGATCATATCGCTCAGGGACAGCCTCTGTTCAACGCTTCCATAAAAACTTAATCTTCGGTCTGTCCTTTACTTTTCTCAGGCTTGCCAAATAAATCAAATGAATCAGGAGGCTCTGTCAGGTCAAGCTTGCGTTCCAACATTCCTTCTCTTTCGAACGATCCTGATTCTCCTCCCCCTGTCCTTCTTTCTCCGGCAAGCCTGTCTTGGCGAGACGCCATTTTTAAACTGTGTCATAAAAATTTTCCTCTTTCTCACCGTTCACCAATCCTCTCTCCTGTTATAATCCATCCCACACAGTTCTTGAATTCCTGCTTGTGATTAATAAAAATGCAACGATCTTATTTCTATCTGGGGTGAAGGGTTATTAATATCACATCGTGCAAAGAAAAAAAAAGTTTTTTCCTCCACCCCCCCTTCATTCCAAACATACAGTCTCCTAGTGGTGATTCATCAGAAGATTTACTTATCCATCCGTCACTCCCGGTCACAGAGATCCATTAATCAGCAGTCTTATCCTCGAACATTACTTGATGTATATGCTTCAGCTTCATTCCAATCATATGTTTCCAATTATAATTCCGAGCTGAAGCTAACCAGCACGCGCTAATTGGAATCGGCATCAGGAAGATCTGACTTCACCGAGGCCTCATGCCAAGTGTTCAGCACCCCCATCTCTCGGATCAGGGGGTGCATTGTGAACACCGCTGGCAAGGCAGCGCCCCCCCCATCTCCTGGGAGGTAGGAAGACTGCATACTTCCCATAGCAGCCCCTTAATTACCTCGTGTGGGTCAGAGAGATGTTATTGTCGGCCATCTTCCAACGTGCCACCTGGTGGCCCCCCTGTTTAGGCCTTTAAAGGTCAGCACCAACACTTTGAATTGTGCTATGAAAAGTGTGGCATAACTGTAACAACTTAATGATGAGTACTAGCACATTTTTTTTCTGTTATAGCCCTCTTTTGTGTGAAGGGATTGTGTAGCAACAGTTCTCTTTTAACATTCAAGCTTGGCTGATATAGGGACAAACGCTTCCAACTTTGCTCATCTTCTGTTCACACATCAACATTGGACACACTCCTCTGAGAGATTCCAGGGCAGCATTTTACAGAATCACCTTCCTTTACAAGGAACAAAAAGAGAAGACTTTACTATGCCTTTTGTAACAAACTGTTTAAAAATGCATAGGTTGAGCAGATGGGGGGGGAGCAGGCTCACAAATAAGGACAAACCCTGATAACTTAGGATCTAGAAGCTGCTTCTGCCAGCCAGATGCCTTGTAGCAACTTTGCCCAGGGAGTTTCAAACTCAAGACCCTTTGTCTGGAATAGCTCAGTTGGCAGAATGTGAGACTCTGAATCTCAGGGTTATGGGTTTGAGCCCCACGTTGGGCAAAAGATGGCTGCATGGTCCATTCCAACTCTACAGTTCTATGATTCCGCCTGCATTCAAACTGCAAAAGATTGTTCTTTCAACATCTGCCGACATAGGCAAAGTACGATACAAATCCTAGAAGCTGGGAGTAGCCACTAGCTAGCCAAGGTCATAAATCAGGATGATCTGCTCATCCAGACCACCTCAATATCATGCTATGGAGAAAAAATATCTTAACAAGGGGGAGCCATTTTGTATAATCAAGCAGCCTACTTGCAACACAGGGAAGTGAAGAGGCCGTTTCAGTGTGTAAAGGTAAATATTTGTACACGTGCTGGTTTTGTCACTGTTCCCTGGAATTTACTCATGGCTTGCTCAATATATGTCACTAAACACCTTTGACAAGATGCCTTACAGCTGTGAAAATGTGTATTTAATAACTCGAATCACACTTGAATAAAACAGCCAAAAAAGAAAGAAAAGACTTGGGTGCACATTGTACTAGGGAATGCAGAGGCGCACAAACGGTCAGGTGGTAAATCTCCAGGGTCTTTAGGTCACAGGTGTATTTCTCTGGCTCCTCTCACACTTACGGTATTGTCTTGTCCTCTGACACATTTGGAGCAAATTATTTCACTCAAAGAATTCTGGGCACTGTAGTTTGTCCCTCACCGAGTTACAATTGCCAGCAGCCCTTAAGAAACTACAGTTCCCAGAAGTCGTTGAGGAGGGAAAGGTGCTTCAAAAGTGCTCTAAAGGTATTGTGTGTGTCCAGCCTTCTGGCAGGGATGCAAAACATTTTGAAGGCCTCTTTAAATTTCATTTGAGTCAACAAAAGCTTCCCCCCTTCCCATGTGCTGTGCATTGTTTTTAGTTAACCTAAATGCCAAATTTAAACTTTTAGTAATAGACCATTTCCCTTTATTTCACTTTATTGGAAATATTAAATACTCAGTGTTAATTTATTTTACTGCTAAGATGTTATCACCATTTGCTTTCTGGCTTTGATGGTCACAACTTAATATTTATATGGAAATAGACATAGGAAGCTATTGTTTGAAAAATGGGGAGTTGACTCTCTACAGAGCTTTTACAAGTTTCTGCCAGTGTCGGTGTGGGGAGGTGCTCTCTGTACTAAACAGAAGCAAATTACAAGATAATGTATAACCACCTTTTGGTTGTTGCTGTTGCTAAAACAATTATAGAAAATTCATAATATATGTTGGTCTTCCATCTTGATGCTGAAACATATTTCTTTTGAACAATCAGTCAAAATGATTGATGATCCAATTTTAAAATAATTTTTTAAAAAGAAATTAATGTCTTTGGGCACTGTTATATTTCTCTTTTAGCATGCGGGCCTCTATTTCATTCATGTCATCAGTCATTCTTGGGTGACCCTGTCACTTTGCATGCAGGTATATACAGAAAGCCCTTTTAGGAAAGCTATTATCGAAAAGGCCATTTCACCTGAATAGATGCTGTACTTTGCCTGTGCCTGGAAAATTAGTCCAAGCCAATAACTAGTGATGTGAGAATCTGTGTTTGCATACATATTTTCTTCCTGAGCCCTGTTATTTACTCTTCTGTCAGGCTGTGGGACAGGCTTTCACAAAAAATAACCGTGGTCAAGAGAGCCTGGCGTACCAAATGGCTCTCCGTATGCAAGTATCAGTTCCTCCTAGAACGTGACAGCTGTTTAATGTGCAGGAAATGAAGATCAGCCTACCTGACTGAAATTACAGAGAGAATTTGAGGCACGAGAGTTTGGTTACCAGGGCTGGGAATGTGGCTGAACACCTGGTGCAGTGGAGGGGCTACAACTCAGCCTCCAACTGACTAAATACGGGGTTGATCCACACTTCCGTTTGGCCCATTGCTTTCTCCCAGGAAAACCCATGGTTTAGCACTGGATTGGAAACGACGACAATTGGGTTTTCCGCAGATGCATTCTGATTTAGCACTAAGCAGTAGATTTTTCCAGTGGAAAGTCATGGGGCAAATGGAAAACTGATTGGACCCATGCTTTCCAGGCACAGAAGCAGAATCACGGAGAAGCCCTTAATCTTATAGCACAAGGCACTGTTGCCTTGCGCCCTGCCCAAACCATGAAAGCTAGGGCTGAGAGTACTGGCCTCCGTGGTAGCGTTGCTGTTGTGCATGTGAAGGAATTTCTTCTCACCCAGTTACCTGACAACCTTCCAAATGCCCAGGCTCTGTTCACACCCAGGGCAACGGAGGAGGACAGTTCTCTTGCCTTGCAAGTGGCCCTCAATGGCCCTGTATTGTTTCTTAATGGCTCTAGCTTGGCCAGGTTGCTTTGCATAGGCTAGCCCAGGAAGTCCTCTGCAGCCCTAATAACCAAAAGCCTACCATTTATTAATTTCTAGGGTTTAGCCACACACACACCTATAACAATACGTTCAGCAGAACCAAGCCATTAGGGGTAGGTTTTCCTGGGCAGTACCATTTAATGGATGGAGGGGGGATTGTCCCATGTTTAAACACTCCTTCATGGTTAAACCTCCCTCAGCTCATACAGTGAACTGGTGGTAGATTCCGAAGCGTAATGCAACTGTTGTGACGATCTTGCGTCTGTGAAGAAGAATGTGATTGTTGCGTTGTTCCACGATGCAATGGACAGCACAAGAAGAGGAGGAACATGACATTCCTTCTGCTCACTTTTCAATTACTGGAAAATGCAACCGACACTGTAAAATGACCCTTTCTCAGGGCTGCAATGCATTTCCACGTTGCTGTGAGGGGGAATTCAAGAGTGTTCTTTCCAGTACTGCTGACTTATTGGCCACAGGCAATTATTGGAATACAGTAAGAGCAGGAGTAATGGCATTGCTATGCTCTCTCTCTCTCTCTCTCTCTCTGGTTTTCTCAGCTGGTCAGCAACAGCTGAAACACCACAGAGGTTTTCTACCAACATTCTGGATGGGGATGAGTCACGGCGAGAGTTATCGGAGGGCTTGGTAAACAGGAATGGAGGAGGAGATGAGAGATAGCAGGGGCTAAACAAAACTTTGCCGCCACTTGACCTCTAACACTTGGCAGGAGTTGCACTTATTTTATGTAAAGTGAACCCCAAGAATTCATAGTGAACAAATCCACTTCATTGGAACTGGTGGCTGACAAATCTTTGGCATGATAACTTCAGGACTGACATCCACTTACAACATGGGATGGGGGAGAAATATGATTTGGTGCTTTCTTAAAGGTAATTCTGACAAATTTGTACTTTCCAAAACAGTACATGAACTGAAACTCTGTTATCCCTCGAAATTTGTACTTCTCCAAATCTTGCAATGCAGAACAAAATTCTGTACACTAAGATAAAGTATGAATAGAAATGGGTGTGTTAGCGACATTAACAAGCAGAAATGCAATATATTGTGGGAAATATAAATATTAGAGAACAATGCTTTGTAAAGTATGTATTTATGTATATACATTTTGTATAAATATTAATAAAAATTATATGTGTGTGTGTGTGTGTGTGTGTGTGTGTGTATAAATGACATAAAAAAGGTGCATACTAGAATAAATCTGCACTAAAATGCTATTGAATTTTGCTAAGGACTTTCATATAAGGCCCTCAACTGGAAGTATCTATTCTGACTGTGGCTACTCTTCAAGGGTGCTATCCTGCTAGCTCATTCCATCAGTGCAAAGATTTTCACTTGGGCAGCAGAAAATCCCCCCACAACAAATTTAGGGGGCGTTGGGTGCAGGAAGGAGGGGGGAGTTTCTGTTGCACAAGCAGAAATCCTTACGCTGGTGGAGGAAGTTAGTTGGCTTCTACCCCATGACTTGAGATGGAGGTCTTCTCAGCCCTTCCTCTACTTGTGATTTGCCTGACATGACATGAATTGAACCTGAGGCTTTCTAAAGCAAAGCATGCATGATGCCACTGACCTATGACACCTCTGCTGGCAATTAAAGGATCCTTCCATTGCATTTATCTCTTTTTTATGCTGTCATTGCGGAACACAATTTTGTTCTTTACGTCGTTTCCCATGCCAGCCTACCACGTATTGCATGCTTAGCTCACTGGAGGTATTTGGTGAGACTTTGACGGCCTCCGTGCATTAGAATATCAATGTTCCCATGCTGCACACTGGAAATAGTGGCTGGGGAAAGCATTGCACTCATGTTCAAAACTAGTGGCGCAAGCAGTTTCACTCATTGCAGTCGTGGATAATAAATGTCAACTGCAATTGCCCAGCTGAGCAATTTGTTGATTTATGACTCCTGAGATAAAGACAGAGAATTAAAATTCAAAGGACATGCTGCTAGAAAGCTGCACAAATCTGCCAGTGTAGCCAAGCTAACTTTGTTGCGTAAACAAAAAGGCCAGCCTTATATTCTCTTTGCGACACTGCCCATGTTTTAAAGCTCCATCTCTGAGCGCCCTTTTCTTGGCTCTGGAGCTTTCTCCAATATAGGAGTTTTTCAGACAGTAGAAAACAAGACAAACAAATTTGGTCTAACATAATGCTTCCAGGAGGGCAAAGCAATCAACCCAAATAATAAATCTATTTCCATTCTTAATTCACACTTGAGAATCTTATGTTACCCATACTAAGTAAAATGATTATATGGGGAGTGGCGAGGAAAGGCCTGTAAAGGTCCAATTTTTGAACTGATGGCGTTGCTTTGTCACATTGTTATTATTATTATTATTAATTTAGATTTTGGCATCCTCGCAATAAACTATTCATGCACACAATTCTTGACATCAACTGTTTTATTTTATTTTTTAAATGATATTTATTGAAAAATTTTTAGAATTACAAAAGAAAACAAGGTAGAAAAAGAAAAAGAAAAAACAAAGAAAAAACAAACCACAAACAATACAAATTAATCAAAAGACAAAAATATACCACAAACATTTAAAAACAAATCCATTATTCTCAAATCCTTAACAAACAAATCTTTGACCTCCTCCTCCTCCCTTTTTTTGTATCCTAGTTGTTAATTGTCACAGCAAATCCTTTCCATATTTCATAAT